TATATATATATATATATATATATATATATATATATATATGAACGCATAAGAAAGGCAGAGAGTTTGGTCTTGTGAGTGATGGAGCCGTCTTACTGCATTAAGGCTGCTGTGTGGCAGCTTTGAGGCAACCATGAGAAGTCTCCGCCTACAGAGCACAGGCCCGCCTGTCTGCATCGTAGGCAAACTAAGGGGAGGGGGACACAAGGCCCACTTGAAACTATATTTCGACAGAGAGCATGGCAATATACTGCGCATGCACACACACACACACACACACACACGTTCATACAGGAGAGCAGTTAGCTCACCGATCCTGTCACATTTTGAACTGAGCAGGTCGGAGAATACACAGGGCCTCTGTGGAGGGGCTCCTGCTGGAGAAACATTAGTATCATGTAAAAAATGCTGATGGTTAGCTGGGGGATTAGGAGCCATGGCGTTTGGTAGTGGTGTGGTGGTGCTGAGGCTGGATTCGAACCAAGGCGCCAGCGCGTACGTTCAATCCAAAACAGAAAAAAAAGACGCAGATAAAAACATAACAGACGCATGGACGTGCGGGTTTTGCGATGCTCTAGCACCTCAAAACAACGGCCATTAAACAGTGGAAAGGTGCTGGAGGAATGGAAGGGAGTTCCTCAGACAGAATGAAGCAAACCGTTTGGTGATTGACAGGTATGGAGGCGAACTGGGCGAGAGGAATGTGGGATGCGCGTGGGAGGGTTCAGGGCTCGGGGGGACCGGGGGCGGGTCAGTCGTGGTCGTGCTGGGTGTTGTAGACCGTCTCCCCCGAGGAGATCTGGGTCAGTCTCTTGCTGGATCCCCACAGCTTCCGTGTGATCTGGCCCGAGCGCATCTGAGAAGAGCGGAGGAAGAAGAGGAGGAAGTGGGATGGAGGAGAGTGGGGGAGGAAAAGCGTGAAGTCAAAGGAAACCGGAAGGAAAGAAAAGAGGGATATGATTCATGAGTGGTTGATTGATTAGTTCATTGCAGCTTGATTGACTTGTGAGGCAAATAAATCAAAGGTTGATTCACTTTGGTAAGAAAAGATGAAAAGCAGAAAGGTGCAATGGTTCACTGCCTGCATGGAGCTCATCTACACTACCACACTATGTACATTATCAAAACATTAAAGTCGATCTTGGCGCAGGATTATTCGTTTTGCATTATTAGATTGTGGCTACACTGTTAATATGGCTTGAGTTTGCAGAAAGTGTTAATTCGTCTTAAGTTTGTTTCACAGCATATTTGTTACAGTGGTGGAGTACACACAAACACGTCACATAATGACACTTCAGGTAAACAGCAGGGGTTTGGAGTTTATCCCAGGTCAATGGCCAAATCAAGTCAAATATTGCACAGATGAGGTAAGCACATAAAGTTGTTTTCAGGTCACGGTTGTGGCTCTAGTGGCCTCTGTGTCTGCTCAAAGAACAACTTCAATCTGTGTGGCTCAGATGTAAGTGTGTGCGTGTGTGTGAGTGTCGGGGGAGGGACTAGAGCCACTGGGGTTTATGGGAGCTAGGGGAGGGGCTGAACACGAGCTGGTCACGCTGGTGTAGCAGGCGGGTTGGCGAGCGGGCCCGGAGCGGGGCCAGCAGGGGGGACGCCAAGAGCGTCGATCCCTCCAGGCTCTGAGCGATGTAGTTCCTCAGCGAGCTCTTTACCTCCGCCGGCTTGCCCACGCCCACGATGATCAGCTTGCCGTCCTCCAGGCCCACCAGGACGTGGCTCTGCTCCTTGGCGACCGAGACGCAGCGCACCGGCACCCTCATGGCCATGGGCTCCGCGCACAGGGACAGACTGCAGAGGAGAGACAAACACAGCTGTGACGCCCACATGCAACGCAGACTGCTGTCAGAAAAATGCAGTTTCTGAGGAGTTTACCTGTAGAGGTCACGGATGGACAGGTATCCCTGCTCGCTGCCGATGACGACGTACTCCCCCGAAACACACATATCAGTCACCTGCTCCTTCAGAGGCTCGCTGCAGAGGTGCTTCCCATTGACAGAGTAAAGGTGGAGGGCGTTTTTATCCTGGGGAGAGAAAATGAAACACCCGCTGTGAGTAACAATTTCCGACTTAATCTCAATCCTCAAAAACCCATGTTCGAAAAAGACTGCACGTAGCAGAATATGAACTGGAAACCTCGAGAAAAAAATTATTTGTAAAGTTTCTTGGGAGTTTTGCCTTTCACACAGCTATGTGAAAGGCACTCATTTCCACATACAGTTCAAAAAATCTGAGATTTAGCTTTCCCTGGTTCCCCTTTCTTTTTTTTCAAGCAGGGTCTGTGTATATCTGCGTGCACCTTCAGCGTCGCTTTGCCTTCGAGGCAGGTGTGGACCAGCAGGTGACCCTCCCAGGACACGGCCAGGTGGAGGATGGAGAGCGGCAGGGAGCTGTCGCACGGCGGTCGCAGGCAACGCATGTACTGACCCCGACGCACCGAGTGGATGATCACCGTCCCATCCTGGGGCACAGAGAGTGGCAGCACACAGTGACACACACGCATGGTATTTTAAAAAAACTACAATTACAACACTGTTCTAAACCTTACAAATCTCTGTACTAGACCCAGAATTACACATATCCAGGTCAGTGACCCCTTAGTCTAAAGTAAACCCATTTTCCAGCTCATTACAGTGACTCAGCATGGGATTGAGAATCCACACGTGATTCCATTCTCCAGCATAACACCGTCTTTCTGTGTGTGTGTGATCTTACCCGTGATCCAGACACAGCCATGTCCAGCTCTGTGCTGATGCTGACACTGACCACCTCGTCCGTGTGTCCATACAACACCTGAACTGGTTTGGGATGGAGACCCACGGGAGCTCCACCCTGCACAGACAAACAAAACAGACTGAGAGAGGGAACGTGTCCGGTCGTCGGACATAAAGAGAGAAGATTTTGTGTGCAAATTAAAATATGCATAAAAACAGATGGATTGTAAAAGCACTTACAAATCTTTGAAACATTTGAAATCAAGTTAAATCATCAAAAATATTCTTTCATTTAATAACTTTTATTCTTCTAGTTACATTAATCAACTTAAGAACTTGAATAATACCCGAAAGTAAGACCCCAAAATGAATACTGGCCCTTTACGTTGAGTTTTTTTGTGTCTGCGTGTTTTATGAAGTTGATTCTATGACTTTAAAACTCTATTTTTGCAGATCGGTATCTGTCACGGCGTATAAGCGAGTCCTGGCTGTGCTGACCTGCTGCAGAACCTGCCACACCATGCAGGTTGTGTCTCTGGAGCCGGAGATCAGGTGGATGCCGCAGTGGTCCGTTGACAAGCACGTCACGATGTCTGGAGGAGAGGTGAGCGAAACAGCTGACCGTTACAGGACATACAACGGGAAAAAACCCTTTGCAGGAAGGGCTAAAAGGGTCATCATCATCGTGCTTGGCCTGCTTGTTTTGGATGCGACAGATTTCAAGACTTCTCTTTCGCTGAGGTGTGCGTAAGGGTGTAGGGTGTGTTTACCCATGTGTCGGATGTGCTGTCCCACAGTCTTGCCCTTAACCAGGGAGGTGACCCGGAGGCTGTTGTCCCAGTGGCCGCCGCTGAAGAGCAGCTTGCCGTCGTGGGAGGCCACAAATAGCCTCGCCGTTACCTCCATGCCGGGGGCGAAAGGTCCGGAGAGGAAACGCTGGGTCCTGGGTGAGGAGGGTGAGAGGAAGACAGAGAGGAGGGAGGGAGGGAGAGCTTAGAGAGGACGCAACCTGACGGCAAAAAGGCAGCGCTGCATTGTTACCGCGGAGCTGCTCTGCTGGAAATACTACGTTTGCGTGAGTGTTCTCACTTGGCGTTGGACACGGTGGGGTCCTTAATGAAGGTGAAGTAGTTGGAGATGTTCTTGTTGTAAGGCAGCCACCCGTGGGTCCCAACCAGGCAGTTCTGACTCACCGTCACCTGGAGACAGAGCAAACGACATCACATGTCTGCCCTTAATTCATTCCTGTTGTTTACAACTTCTACAATTTATAAGGAGTAAAAAATTAAAAATAATTCCATTATTATAATGGCTGTCAGTATTAGCACCCGGCTCACCATGGTGTCAGGGCTCCCCTGGGTGATGAAGGAATGGGACTGATTCTTTGGCACCACGGCCTTAACCAGCGGCACGTTGTCACTGATGCCCTGCAGCATGACGGGGGGAGCATTGAAATCTGAGTTATTATAGGGGCATGTTTTCATGAAAAGTGATGGTTATAATTTTGGTTAAATTATTCCTTTACTAGCTTTATAAAAAAAAAAAAACACTGAGCAGTAGAAAGATCAAACCTCGACAAAGAAGGACTTGAGGTCGCTGAGGTGTTCGAACATGCTGAAAGGACACGAGTCAAGCTGAGCCTTCCTCTTCTCCACTTCCTCCTGAGGCAGTCGCACTGGATGGGGCTCCTACGCGCACACACACACACACACACAAGTCTAAATCCGATTCATCGGCACAGATGCAGCACTTCATTAGCTCGACGGGTTTCACGTTGTGTCTGCCGTGTTTGTGTCTGCACCTTGAGCAGCTGGCAGGGCGTCTGTCCAAAGTTGCTGATCATGCCCTCCAGGGCCTTGCGCTCCTTTTCATCCGTGATGGCATCCAGGTCCACCGCCCCTGCAACACCAAACCAATCAAAACACTACGCTGACAATTCACAAAGGCGTTGTTAGGACGTCGTCGTTGCAAAATAATTATAACATTTTCCCTTTCCCTTTTAGGAATTAACAGGAAAACCGAAGTAAATGTTTTTTTTTATTTATTGAAATACAGCTTACAAAAATACCACAAAATAAATGTGTGTTTAATGATACACTCATCAATTATTTAAATGTGTTTATGTTGTTTGAAAAAGATAGGCGTGTGACTGAATGCCTGAAACAATGTGTATGAGAAACAACATTGTCAACTAAAGACTGAGGACGGAATAAAGACCGTGGCAGCGTCGCCACTGTTCTGGATGCTTTACCCTCGTATGTGCAATAGTAGAAGACGTTGAGGGCCTCCACCGCCGCGGGGCCCCTCTGCTTGTAACCAAAGATCAGGTCGATCCACTCGTGAAGGTGCGCCGATACGTACTCCGACTCCTGTCACGAAAACACATTATTACAATTATCATGTAGCTTGTGTATCAAAAGGTAAATTCTTCTACTGAGGATGATCCCGAAGAAGCAAAGTCATACAACAGCAGTAGAACTAAAGCTGCGTCTCACCAGGGCTTTGCGGTGTTTGTAGATGAAGTCCTCGGGGGACTTGGCCCATTTGGGTAGAACAACATCGCCAACCCTTTCCTTGGAGATCTGCAGGCGACCCAGATCAAAGCCTGAATGAGGGACAAGGGAACAGAAAGAGGGAAGCGAGGTATAAAGAGAGAACAAACAGTGAAAGAAGGAAGGGATCAGAAAACAAACAAACATGTGTATGCCTTAAGAAGTTTTGTATAGAATATTTCAAACCTTACCGTTTTGGTTCTCAAGGAATTCTGGGAAGTAGAAGAACTCCGGGATGAGCTCCTTGACGTCGTTGGGGTTGTCCATGAGGGTCTGCCATGTCGCGGGGATGGAGTGGAACTGGCGGTCGGCACAGTCAAACCTGAGCCGAGGCAGGACGGAACGGATGAGCATCTATGATCAACACGTGTGTGGGAAGCAGAGGAGGAGCGGTGTGACCGACTGGTGTCCTTACCGGGCGCTCTGCAGTTGGATGTGCAGGGAGGTGAAGGGCTCCACTCTGATCAAGTAGTGCATCACTCCGGCAGCGTTTGAGTAGTGGGTGCCATAATGGAACCTGTCGATGGTGCCCGTTGGGTCCTCGAAACTTTCATACCTGACGGGACAAAATTAAAAAGTTGACTTGAGCAAGACGGATCGGCAGCAACGTGCCTTCCTCTGATAATTTAATTATGAGAATGATGTAAGTGTAGAGGGATGAAACGTACTTCTCTCTAACAGCCTTGGCATTGCGTTCGTTAAGAACCGCCACTGGCTTCGACAGGTCCCTGAATACCCGGGGATCAGACAGGTCCAGCTCCTCTGAAGTGTAGTCAGCTAGAATCCAGGGAAACTGGTAAAACACACAACAAGTTAGCTCAAACATTCACCCAGTCGCCACACTTGTACAGTCATGTATTCAGTGAGGGACGTACCACCGGATACTGAGCCAGGTTGTTGTACGTTCTGCCTGCAATCGTGTTGAGTTGCATCAAGTAGTCAAAGTTGGAAATCTCCCGGTTCACCCATTTCTGTGCAAAAGCAGAGTTTTCCTCAGTTTAACACAAAATATTACAAACCGTACCATCAAATCCTCTCTGTTAAAATGATATACCTCAAAACAAGATGACATTGTTTGCGTTTTTGTGAGTAATACACTCAAAACAAAAACGTTTCCTGACCTGTGTAAGTCCGGAGGCTTTGAGGAGCTCCTGCGGTGAGCGGGTTCCATAAAGGCTGAGGGACCGCAGCAGCAGCATGCGGCTGTAGACCTTGTTCCTCACCTGTTAATGAGAAACACAACCGTAAACTATTTCAAAGGCAAGAAGGGATCAAATATTCTCCTGCGATCAAAAGAAATTCAACAGGCGTTTGAAATTAATGTCAGTTGAATTCATCACCTCCTTCTTGAAGTTGAGGAAGTAAGTGGTCTGGTCGATGAGGAAGATCTCCAGAGCTGAGCGACGTAGGTTATAACGCCGCAGGTGGACCTCTCGGATCTGAGACAGGGGCCATTTGAAGTCGTGGCCCACTCCTTCAGGAAACAGGTTGACCGTTAGTGCACGTAAAGGTTTAGTGATGTTTTTCCCTCATCTTTTCTCCTCCGCCCCCCTCGCTCTCTCCTCACCTTCCTCTTTCTCCTGGCTGCTGTCGTAGAAGTAGATGTGTTGGGTGGTGAGCTCCAAGCGGCCGGGCACCACGTCCACCACCGTCACCAGCTCGCAGTCCTCCCACAGCACCAGCTTCTCCTTCTGGCCCGCTTCCTCTGCTTCAACTCTGCGGGACAAAGAATTGTAGGCTGTGACTCTCGACTTGGTTTCTACAATGGGAGCGCGGTTGTTCTGTGGTTGTCGTGTTTTGAAGACTGACTGGTTGTTGGCGGCGGCCGGGTCATCCTCCGGCAGCTCCAGGACGTCGTCCTCCAGGTCGCTGACTTTAACCTGCTTCGCGGCCTCCAGCAGCAGAGACTCAGCGTTTACACGCTGCTGATGGACACCTGAGACAAGCAAGAGAGAGGGGGAGAGGATTAAACGCTGAGAGGAGGCATCCAGAGACGGTGCCGTGGGTTATACCACATGGCAGTGCAGGGATTTAGCTTCCTAGCATGTCTGTCAAGGGCTGACAAACTACAAAAACGTACCTGACAGGAACATAACATGTTTTTATTTCAGCTCTGTTCAGTTTTTCTATTCCATAAACAGAAGATGTCTTAAAGTTGCACATTCACAAAATAAAAGCCTCAACCTTATATGTGACGTAATAAGGAAAAAAAACTAGTGGATGGGACATGAATTGCAGTTATGATTGGTCCAAATAGTCGAGCATTCATTCAAGAGACGACACACACACCAAAAAGCCCACAGTGAGGCGTTGTCGCATTACCCAGGTTGTCTCTCAGAGCGCTGGCCTCTCGGTGCGGGTCAAAGTTGTAATTACGAACCAGCTTCAGCCTCATGCGGGAGAAGTTCTCAGCGCTGGACACCCTCCAGTGCATCTCATCCTGCTGCCTGTTAGAGTTGTTACAAAACACACTTGTAAATCTCAAAGGCAGCCTTTATTTACATCTCTATATATTATATGAATACATTTTGTTTTACTACAGTAGAGTACTGCAGAGGAGAGAGGTTGATGTCGGTACCTGTCAGCCCAGGGCCCTCTCTCACACACCAGACCCCGGCGTGCTGCCTTCCACTGCCTGAGGATGGCGCCGTTCTGGCTGTGCTGCTGCTTCAACATGCTGTTGTAGCGTAGGTTCTCCTGGCGGCCTCGGCGGAAGAAAGGCTCCACAAATTGCTCCTGAAGAGGAAGAATTTACGGGAGACGAGCTTAAGCTTTGCACCCAAAGATTAGATAGATTAGGTCAGACGGAGGGGAAAAAGGCTTCAGTTATTATTTATTGCTGATCCAACTCACCTGGAAGCGGATCTTGCCCTCACCCCTCTCCCTCTCTCTCTTATGCAGGCTGACCATGAAAGCCTCGTAGCACTCCTTCCAGTAGAGAGCCATGGTCTCGTGGCCCTGGCTGAATGTTTCGATTTCATACTGCTTCATGTACGGGATAATCTGGAGACAAGTGGAAGTGAAAAAGAGAACATTCCCATTAAGTTTTCCAATAAATTCGTATCCGATATAAACCAAAACAACGATTAACTCTAAATCTCCATCTCGTACATATTTGTCGAGGTAGACGCGCCACTCGGGGGAGTTGCAGTACAGCTGGAAGTCCTCGAAGAAGGACGGGCTGCCGTTGGTGTCGGGGAGCTGGGGGAGGTGCAGCTCTATGAAGAGGAGGCGGTGGACTTTGGAGAGCAGCGTCCGCAGCAGGGGGACCAGGAAGGAGTACGTCTCCTCCCTTTGCTCCTGGATGGAGCGCCGCAGGATGCCCTCCACCTTACCCAGCAGGTAGCAGGCCTCGTCCTGGCTGGACACCTGCTTGGTCTGCAGGATGCCGTTGAGCTTGGCTGTGGCCATGGCACACACCTGGGACAGAGGCCATTTATTAATGTACATGAATAAAAAAAAACACACACGGAAAGGAGGGACAGTGGGAAGAATCGCTCACTTCAGGGTCCTCCTGAGCCATGAAGCCCAGTAGCAGCCGCAGGCCAACTTGGGAGAGCTGGAACCACTGAGCGCCGGCCGAGTACCACACCATGAGGCTGTCCATCAGCGTCACCGTCTCCTCCAGCACCTTCTCCGTCCACAGCGCCGGGTTGACCAGGCCCTCCGCCTGCAGGAAGTCCTGCACCATGTGAAGCAACCGCACCGCGTTCTCCGTGTGCTGCGGCAATGTGGCGGCCGACGCCTCGCGGTTGTCGCCCACCGCCCACTCCAACATACGCTCCATGAGACTGCGGGGGGAGAAAGAGAGGGCACAGAGGGAGGAGGAGACACCCGTTAGATACAGTCAGCAAACCAGTCTCTGGAAACGTGTCTTCAGCTACGGGCTGACCTCAGTTTGATTTGGTCGACGGGCAGCAGCAGCTCGTTGGCGGTCGCCAGTTTGGTGAGGGCCGAGAAGACCTGGCCGCGCTCCAGCCACGCCGAGTCGTCCGAGCCTTCCACCCCACGCCACATCACGCACAGCACGATCTCCAGCAGCATGGTGCACAGCTCCTCCTCCGCCCGCTGGGGGGCGACATCACACCAGAAAAAGGAGGGAAAAAGAGAGAAAAGTCATTGATTGCTCAAAAAAAAAGAAAAAGGACTTTATTAAGATGATAGTTGATGTCACAACAGCGTTTCTTATTTCACTACTTAATGCATTCGAACACCTCTAAAAGCCTTGTGACAGCCTGAGCTTCAGCATGATCCCCCTCTAATCTGTCTCCAGATAAAAAGTGCTCAGTCTGGAATGTAGATGACACTACATTTGTGATGGCTGAATTTATTCTGCCGCTTTGTCACATTCCACAACCCTGCGGCTTTAAAATGACACATTTAATTCTATAGCCGACAGCTTCCTGCTGCGGGAGGAGACGGGTCGTCTCTGTTCCGGCTCTGCAGCCCCAGCGACACCCTGAGAAGAGCTCGCTGGATGAAAGTCCAGCCAGGCTGTGCAGTAGCATTGAGACAACCTTCGAGTACATCATATGAAACAAAAATATCTTACTTGCTTACTTCTCGGGGCTTTATGAGAAATCATTTTAGGGATTATTATATAGGGAAAAGTTACATCCTTTCTCTTGAACCCTCTCGGCAGAATGAAAAGCATCACAGAAGCAGCCATCCCACCTCAGCATTGTTGAAGGACTCCCCCAGTGAGATGTTGTCGCTGAAGAGAAAGCTGTCCTCAGTCAGGGAGGAGGTTGCATCTCGATCCGCGGCGGTCCCTGGGAAAGGCTTCGAGTTCTCCAGCGGCGACGGTGTGCTGGGCACGCTGCCAGGTGTTTGGCTGCCGCTGTCCCCGCCCTCGTAGGCCTGCAGGTGGGACAGATCCAGCATCAAGCCCCCCGACTTTCCCACCACCCAGGGCCTGACGTGCGGCGGCGGCTCGGCGGAGGCCGAGGAGGACGGCGTGTCCAGCAGCGAGATGACGTCGCCGTTCTCCAGGCTGTCCACGGAGCGAGTGTCGCCCACGCTGAGCCGGTCGTCCTCTAGGCGGCCGGCACTGCCCGCCCGCGACCTCTTCTCCAGCGGCAGCTCCAGGCGGTTGGCGGCGCCTCCGCCCCCGGGACGGCTCAGGTCCAGGCTGCAGGCGCTGATGGTGTCGGTGCCCCGCTGTGGCTGGGACCCGTCGCTCCGCAGGTAGAGCCGCATTAGGGTGTCCTGCCAACACTGCTGCTTCGAGATCTGGATGGCGGCATCTTGTTGGGATTGTAGCAGCTGGTACACCTGAAGACAGAGAGGGGAAAAGGTTAAAGTTCGAAAGCAAATAGAAAGTAATGTAGGAAGCATTTAATCAATTGCTGGGACCTTCGGTCATTTCCTTTGTCAGCTGTTATGCAATATTTGTGATGAATAGTGTGGATGTATGAGTGCAGATGTTTTACTCACCCTCTTGCAGACGAGGAGGCGTTCGCTGGGTCCGGCCCGGTGAGTGAGCTGGACCAGAGCCATCAGGTCCTTGTAGTTCACCACATGATCTGTAGATTTTAGACACACAAGTTCACATATGTGCAACTGTATGTGGTATTGATTGGCGCTTCCATGTGCTGTCTGTGCTTTTCTTTTTTCTACTAATGACAGACAGGGGAGCAATTCTGTCTAATGCCTCCGACGTAAAGCCTGAGCTCCATTGATCCATTTTTCAGCCTCTCTAAAATAGCTGTTTAGCCTTCAACTGCAGTGTAAATATGACTGGAGTAGAATTTGAATTTAAAGTAACACTAGTTGAACAGTTAGTGTAAACACTAACTAAAAGAAATAGAAGAAAAGCTGACCTGTGTGGAGGACCTGGTTGAGGAGACAGCGGATCAGTGTCGGAGTGATGTGAAGTTCGGAGAAGAGCAGCGACAGGCCGGCGTAACCCGCCTCCCTCAGCCGCAAGCGCTGCTTATTCTTCTCGTAGACGCGGTCGCAGCGCAGCATGCGCTCAAACAACTGCGCAGAAGAAGAATCAACAATTTTGAGTCGGTGTTTAGCACAAAAGTCGTTTTTACATTGAGGTGAAGGACATGCATTGGGCCCCGAATTGACTCACTAATGTTAAGTTAAGCGAGTACATTTGTAAAATTCCATAATTGCTGATGGACCCACCTTGAAGACGAGCTCCCGGAGTCGATCTGAGTGCTTGTTGTTGAGCACGAGAGCGTAGCAGGAGTCGGCGGCACCGGGCTCGAAGAGGAGCAGGAAGATCTGGTCCCGGGCCGGACTGGTCTGAAGGAGGCTGAGCAACAACTCCAGCAGCCCACACAACTGCAAACACACGGCACACATTTAATACTTCTACGTAGTTTTGACGGATTTATACATTGTTAGGGGTAACTAACTGCTTCAGCTCCCATCAGAAGAGGCTGTATGGCGGCAAAATGAAGCGGTGAAAATATTCTAAATATAGGGTATAATTAAGCGGCTATTGATTTGTTTATGTCTCTAACATATGTCCACAGAAGTACATTGCTTTGCCTGTGCTCCATGTACTGTAGGTAATACTCTTTATGGATTACGGATTAGTACCTCATAAAAACCCACTTCAAAACAGATAAAAACTGTGCTTGTGTTGCATGATTTTATACCTGGATCATGTAATATTTAATCACATGTTGTACTTTCATGGTTTTAACATAATACATGAAGACTCAGCGCAGCTTGATGAATGGATAAGTATTATCAGATGCCCAGCAGTGAAGGAGGATCATGCGATTATATTGACCATATGTTCGTAGAGGGTGATGTAAGCTTCCACTTATTAAAGAACTATTATTAAAGAACTACTCAGAGTAGTTCTTTTCTCAGGCTGCCAACCGGCTCAGAAAAAAGATGGAGTATTTTGTATTCCAACACATATGATAACGTTTCTAAACGGGTTTATTTACTTTCATGTGCAAGCCATAATGTCAGACCCGCCCCCTCACCTGTTCCTCGTCTCCGATGGCAGCGATGTATCCCAGAATGCTGTGCATCTCCTCCTGCGACATGCCCTTGCTGATGTAGTACTTGATGAGGCCGCAGAGAGACGTCCGGATGGTGCGGACATCGTCCTCGCTCAGGTCGCTCTCTCTGTTGCTGTTCCTCCTGAATGAAGGAGCACACGACGACGACGTTTAGCGAGAAAGACGCCGAACTAGTCGGACAGGGGATGAACTCTGGGAAACGGCATCTCACCCGTAATAAAGGCGCACGGTGTCCAAGAGGAACTGAACTCCATACTTCTTTCTGAACTGCTTCCTGTTGTCTTTGATGACGGTGGACATGTACTGGATATGACCTTCATTTGAAGGAAACAAAATTATGGTGACAGTCTGGAGACACACACTCTTTTTGTGTTTGCTGTAACATAAGATTCAGAGCCGTCACTGTGCTCGTAATTTTGGTTTCCACCATTTTTATTCAAATCATTAATATACATATATTATTATTTAGCTTCCTCAAAAACAGCAGGAAGTATTGACCCATTAAAGAAATAGTTCAACTTTTTGGGAAATACAGCGCACACACAGATCTAACCTATGCGTAGAGGGAAGTCTCCTTTGTTCCAGATGTTGAAGTTGAACAGCAGATGTGTGTGAAGCTGCTGCAGCAGAGCCTGGTTCTTCTCATAGGTCACCTGTTCTATCAGCAGCTGCATAGAAACCAGCACGCTGACGTCCACGTGACCTGTTGGCAGCTTAACACAGACAAAAACAATGCATTGAACTATTGGTTCAATTATATGCACACTTAATGGTGCACTTACAACATGATAAAATACAAGAAGGGGGAGAAAAGCATGAACAGGGCCCTTTTAAGACACACACATCAACAGGTACTTACTATATATAGCCCCATAAACAATGATGAGGCTGGTTGGAGATCAAGTTTAAAGCAATGCATCTAACACATAACCAGATAAGGAACACGTTGGAGTGGGTAGATGCACATTAGTGGTTTATTTGTACTTCTTTTCAACCATTTACAGGGTGTGGTTACTTTGCCTGGAGCAGCTTTTACCGCATCAAAGTCATTTTCTTTTATCCGAGTCTCAGCGGAGTCTTTTATTTTCCCTCGGGCTAAATGCTAATTCAGATGCATTTCCTCACGATACACAAATAAATACTTCGGCACACGCACACCAGACAAAAGATAGAAGAGGGAAGAAAGAGAGCCGAGGTAAAAAGAATGAGCAATCAAGGGAAACAGACAGACACAAAGAAAAAGACAAACACGGGGACAAAAGCTGTCTGAGGTGAAGTCATTTCAGGTCGAGCAACATTCAGAATTCTCTTATGTCCTTTCTGCATGTAATTCATTCATGTTGTGAAATGCACCCTGATATTAGACAATAACAAGAAGAAAATGCTTTTTAAAACATCCTTCTGGGAAATAAATTCCACCCTGCCCCCCCCAGGTAATATTGTTCACGTGCAAAATTAAGATGAACCGGAAACCTTCTGCAGCAGAGCTCCCAGTGTGCCGACGCCATGCGAGTGGAGCAGATTCTCCTGGTTGATAGGGTGCCTCTGCAGGAAATGCTTCAGAACCAACAGGAAGGTGGCCACCAGATTCTTTTCAAGGCGCGCCTCTGAAAGCAAAAATAAACATTTGTTTCCACACATGGCTCAGTTTCATGGTTACATTTAAGGTAAAGAGGAAGACATAAAAAAAAAGCGGACCTGAAGCCCGGTTGGACGGCAGAATGACCCAATCTCCGTCGACTGGCGTGGTCACATCAGGGCTGATTAAATCGGACCCGGCTGCAGGATCACTGGCCTGTTGATCCGGGGTGATCAGAGTCAACTGCTCCAGTATGGGGAAGAGCACCGGCAGGCCGCCCACACAGTTGATCATATCCTGCCGCAGATACACAACAGCGACACGTTTTTCAAACAGAAATGCACGCAATTCAAGTTGTAACATTCCTCTGAGCGCAGGACTATTACACGACGGCAGGAGCCGCACGATCCTCCCACCTTGATTTCCCAGTTGACCACTTTATTCCCAGTCAGGCGTCCATGCAGCATGTTCGGAGACAGATCGAGACAGATGGGGTTCCTACACGCCTGTTGACAAAACAACTGAGTTTAGTTCGCGGATATCTTTCAAACAAATAATAAGAGTCACTCTTTAATTTGACTACATTGGTGAACACGCCACAAAGCAAGTTTCCACATTCTGAAGGGATGACCGAGACCGCAGCGGTCCAATCACCTTGGGCGAGTAGTGCAGCAGCATTTTGGTTGAAAGATCGCCGAGTTCGGATTCCTGGGCTTTGAATGGAGAGATGCAGTTTGGACCTGCGTAGAAGACAGGAGGAGAGAGAGAGAGAGAGAGAGAGAGAGAGAGAGCAAAAAACATTCTTATGCTTATTTTTACTTTTATTAGTTTCTATCTAGTTTGTAATCTTTATTGCTGGTTTAATTTTCATTCTTTAGTAACACTGTTGCTGCTTCGCTGTTCTAACATCATTATATTTTTCTGTCATTTCTAAATCTCTCCTCCTCTTCCTCCCCTGCTTACCAGCACTACAGATGGCTTTTATGTGGTTGGGCTGCAGGGGTTCATGGAAGACCATGACGCTTCCCAGCTGGCCCTGCAGCGAGGTAGGACTCCCCCACTCGCTGTCCTGGGTCCCCGCCGAGATGAGCTTGGTCAGAGACTCCGGCTTTCCCCCCAGCAGCCCCCCCCAGGTCTGCGGCAACAGGATGGAGCCCAGCGAGGAGCGAGCAGTGGGCGTGGTGGCGGAGGAGAAGGGCGGGTCTGGGATCTGGGAGGGCGGGGGAGTGGTGGTCCGGTGGCCTGCTGAGCCGATGCAGCAGGAGATGAATGGCTGCGGGTGGAGGACAAACACAAACATCCATGAGGTGCATATAAGAAACCTATTTTCTCTTCTTATAAACAGATAAACACAAGAAACAGCAAACTGCAGGTTACCAGAGAGCCATTTATGAAAACACACACAATCCAGTTGCCAAGAAGTTGGTGAATTCCCACTATTAACCAAGTGAGTGCAGGTCTCACCTCTGTCATGGTGGGATACTTGAGGGGGGCAGACAGTTTCTGCTGCCCGTCCACGTAAATGTACACGAGACTCTGTCCGAATGGCCTCTTTCCTGGTACGTGCACCACACCGATGCTGTGCTGTAAATGGAAATCCACACGGAATTTAGCCCCTTCAATCCCGAGCGTTGCTCTCTTTAATCAGACATTCGGTTAAAAGGTGTAATCTTCTAAATATAGGGTGCCGTCTGTGTTGCCAGATTTCTTTTTAATCTAGATGTCCCTGTGGAAGGGAGTTCAAAATCATTTTCTGCAATATAACTGGCACATTTTAGCGCTTTTTTTTTTATCTTCTATATTTCAGTGGCTCAATCTTTTCAGTAAATTTGTGTCGACAGCTGATGTCATTGAACCGCACTCACCCAGAGCGAGTCACAGAAGCAGTAGTCGGGCAGCATGACCGTGACGTACTCCTTCTTCGTGCACACAGCCACCACCAGCACACCCGCTGAGCTGATGAAGGCCTCGAACCCCGTCCCTCCGGGGGTAAAAAAGCTGTACGGGATAAAACACAAGAAAACATTTTGTGATAATCTCTCGCACTGCAAGAAGACATTAAGATGACTATGTTCTTGTGTTTCAGTCCCTCTCCTCAGTACTTTCTCTTTTCCTCTCACCTGTACAGCTGCTTCCTCTTGTCCTTGCTGAGTGGGCCCAGCTGGTCCTGGTCTAGTGACAACCAGGCGAGGAAGCTGAAGGCCGAGCCGGGCCAGCGCTGCACCGTCGGAACTACAATGCCCGCCATGCTGGGTGACAGGTCAAAGTACTGCATGGCGCTTTCTAGGCCCTGCTTTCGTACCATGGCCAGGAGGGCCCTCAGGGCGGGACCCACATAGGGGTGAGCTTGAGTGGACTCTGGAGGCCTGAGGAGGCGAAGGAGTCCCAAAAGTTCCCTGGCGCCCAGGGACTGGGAGCCCAGCGAGCCCACCAGCCCCAACAGGCTCTCGGCGCACGCTCGGTGCAGGCGCTGGTCGCGCTCCAGGCCCGCCAGCGCTCGCATGACCATGGCGGCGTTGACGCAGGTGCCGCGGGTCTGGCGGTTGAGGCAGCTGAGGCGGCGGAGCCAGTCGGCCGTGAAGAGCTGCCGCTCCGACGAGTCCAGCTCCGGGAGCCACTGGACCAACAGCAGCAAGGGCTCCACGTTGCTGATTCCCAGAAGCCCCACTGAGGTGTGCTCGCCCTCCACCGCCTGCACACAGGAACACATGTTAACACAGACACGACAAAGACGCCAGAATAACCACGGAGAGACCGCAAAAGACAACCCGTCTCTCACCATGTTCATCAGCTCCTTGAGGAGGAGCCGCGACGGCTGGCCGAGTGAGGTGAGCACTTCATAGAGGTGATTGTAGCCGATCCTCTCCTTGAACACCTCCTGCAGAGGGAAAGTTAAATGAAAACACGATTACAAAGCTTCCTTAGCGCAGAGCAATAACCTCACTAGCATGCGCTTGTGCTCCCGTCACCTTTGCTGCCGGTGATTTGTGCATCACTGTTGTCAGGGCTTTGATGGTCGCCACAGCGAGGGAGTCTAGTCGCCCTTGAAACACCTGTGGGGGGGGGGGAGATCAGACTCGTCAGTCCCTACGGCCAAATCCCTGGCAGTGTAGTAACATTTGGACACAAGTCAAATCTCCTCTTATTCCACATGAATGTTACAGCACTGTTATAAGGTGACAAGCGTGCATACAATTTAAAGCCACATTCATATTTACACACAAGGTTTGCAATGCTAAAATGATAATGATCAATGTATTTAAGGCGCTGAATACAACATGCATCACACTGAGGAATAAAAGAGAGACTTAAGTAGATGCATTTTGGTTTGATTCAATTAGTTTGTGTGAGAATATGAGTGAAATCATCGTTTGTCACTGCGGTGCTGAACTGCAGATGTTTTTGTGAAAAGTATCGTCTTTCTGCTCCAGGTGATACACTTTTTTTTTTTTTTTTTTTAAATGACAAAAATCCTTTTAATAGCATGACGATCTGACTGGAGCAGGAAGCTCTCGGGGCTTGGACAAAACAAAAACACCCACCTACACACACACACACACACACACACACACACAAAAAGAAGTACCTCGCTCTTTTTCCTCGCACAGACACAGATTCACAAAACAAAAAGCATGCAAACCATAAAAACACGAGCCAAACCATGACAAACAAACACATCTCCGTCCAGCTCTGTACAAGCTCATGTCCAACATGTTCCTTTAGAATAAACGTGCAGCTCGTAGGCTGGTTGGCCCTTAAGAGAGTCTTGGACCAGCTGGAGAGGGATTGTGGCAAAAAATAATAAATGAATCAAACACTTGAGTCCAGATCACCTCGAACCACTCTGAACTCTGTGAGAACACACTAGGTCAACGTGGTAGCATTCACCAAGTATACCGCAGAGAATCAGGACAATGGGGGTGGGGGGGGTGAGGAAACCTGAAGTAGCGTTAAAATAAATGGAAATGACACAGCTGTGACAAGTGGTCACTCCACAGCAAGACAGCTGAACGGCCGATTCTGGTTTTAAAATTTCAGTTTTGTGTGTTTTCATGACGTCTGCCTTACTTTGGAAGCTCTCCGCTGTGAATGAACTATAAAGCCGCTTTGACCTACTGAGCCGGAGTTCTACACGTGACCCCCGAAAGCAGCCAAAGCTTGATGTCTAAAAACCCAGCCAAGCACACTGAAGCATCGGCCACCACATCGGGTTGCGGCTGCGCAGCAACAAAAGGCCCATTGCTGGTTTGTCCACCTGTATTCACATTATCCAGATCAATGGAGGGATTATACCGTCTAAAAAAGGTGGCTCTGTGAGTAGAAACAAAAAGTACAAAGGGTAGAAGGGAAGCTGGTATACTCTGAGGGGGAACAAGTGTCCTTTCTGTGCACATGAGATGATTGAGTGAAAGAGCCACGACTGATAGTTGACACTACACCATTCAAACGGGCCTTAGACGTATCAGAAACCTACAGTAAGTGACAGCTTCAGAGCAATAACTAATCAAATCGATGGTTTTTAAGGAAGGTAAAGACCGCCTCTTTTCAGTTTTTCAAAATGCATGTACATGCTTGAAAAATCTCTCATTTGATGTCTTACTAGCTGACTTGTTATAACCTGCTTGAAGGACCAGATGAGTGGGGTTTATAGCATCAGGAAGATTGTGAGATTGGAAGCTGGGGGGGCAGTGTTCAGTCTCTATGCTAAGCTAAGCTAACTGGATGTAGCTTCATTTTTAACAGACAAGAAACGAGAACGGTGTTCTTCAAACGCTCTCAGCAAGAAATTAAAGTAAGTATTCCCCAAAATGTTGAGCTGCTCCTTTAAGACCGACCTTGTTGACAACCAGACCTACCGCAGCAACCTGAACACAACTTCATTTAAAAGGATTTTTGTAAAAAACGGTCTCTGGGTCAACTTTTCTAAGCCACAAACAAAACAGACTGTGACAACTGGTTTAACGGGAAATACGGTATGAATGTGAAAACCCCAAACATGGCGGCGTGACAGTCTGTTGAATACATGATGCTCACACAATCGGTTGCCTGCCAGCACCCTGGCAGTCTAGTGACTCAGTGTAGTTTTCTGTGAGGCCACGATCCAATTACAAATAATCGTCTGGCACAGAGCAGCGCGAGCGTCTTGCTGTGGAGGGCCCACGTGGCTCTGGTGAGGTGAAGGGGGTGGGACTTGGCAGCAGGTGAAGATAAGTGGGGGTGGGGGGGATTTCTCGGCGGTACCTGAGTGTCCCTCTCTCCTGTCAGTAACCTGTTGTTGGTTATATCTTTCTGGTCCTTGTCTGCAGCCGTGCACCTCGCGTTAACCAGCTGACACACAACAACAACAACAGGCAACGTGTCAACACGGCATGTGGGGAGGTTGACAGAAAGAGAAAATGGAGACACGGGGGGAGTCAGAGGATGGTGCAGAAGAGGGGAGGGGGGGAGGGAAAGATGGTGTAAGTGGAGGAGAGGGCGAGAGGTTAATAGCCGTGACCCTTCAGCGGGGGGAGGCGTGTTGGTGATCCAGCCTTGCTGTGGGAGGTAAACATGCAATGTGGGCAAAATGCTCTTAAAACCAGACCTGGAACATAATGCACCCCAAATGACATGTTAAATACCTGGGGCCATATTCACAAAACACCCTAAGGCTCCAAACTGGCTGAGTTAGTTAACTCCTGAAAAATAAGGAGCGAGTCCGTCCAAACTTTAGGATACGTAGGGGTCACTCACAAAGCATTTTAGCTCTTAAAGTCTGAGAGAAGTTAGAGACAATCCGGACAATACAATGCTCAACAATTCAAGATTTTAGTTTGTGTCACGTATTACATCTAAGTTATATCCATCTATCTTATCCTGTTGATTAATGAATACCGATTCCCTGACACAGACCCGTCCACCCGTCATTGTTGACACACTGAGTAAGGACATGATGTCATGCATAGCAGCGGGGTCAACACTGCCCCTCCTCTTCTCCCTTGGTTCCTCTCGGCAGCGTCTAAGAGGAAACTGTTTGCTGCCATTAAGAAGGACTCCTCGTGTTAAGATCCTTTGTGAATACAACCCCAGAACTACAGAAACCGATTCACCAAGAGACCTCCAGGAGTTTCAGTATTGGAAAGTGCATTTACTGTACACATCCTTATAATTCTACCACACTACATCTCAGAGGGGAATATTGTACTTTTACATATAAAACGTGATAAAGAATTCACAAAACCTTTACATGGAAAAACACCAGCAGTGGAGAAACCACATCATACTGGTACAACCTCAAACAGTATTGTTGTATCATTATGGTGTAACTAATAACTTAAGAATAATGACGCAGCTCTGAGCTCAGAATGATCAAAGCCCAAATCCAGCCGCTCACACACTGAGAACTGAGCTGTGTCCTCGGGTTGTATTTCGATAGAAAGACCTGTGCCGTTACCTTGCTGTTCTGCAGCAGTCGCGTCAGATGCTCGAAACAGTTACTATTGAGGAAGATGGCTTGTAGAACCGGCCTGTCTGAACACAGGAACATGTCCCTGATGGTGTCTGAGAGACGGCAGGAGACAAAGGGAGGGAAAGAGAGGCACAGAGAGAAAGAAAAGCAAAGACAGCCATGAAACAAGAAGGTGGAATAAGTCACATGAACTTAACTTGAGCTCAAAATAACATTCAATATCACAAAAGTGTTGCTTGAGACTTTTATTGTCATTTAAGACCATACCTAGCATATTTACTTGCAGCGCCACAAAGCGGCTCTCCCAGTGCCGGCCCAGTGCCGGCACTCTGCCCTTGGCTTGTTGCTGTTGCTGTTGTTGTTGTTGCTGCTGCTGCTGCTGTTGTTGTTGGGAAGCAACGACAGCGGCCGGGTCTGAATTGAGCAGCTTGAAGTAGTTTTCCAGCACAGAGGCGATTTCCACTTGCCGCTGGTCGGAGCTGGAGGCCAGGAGGCGCTGCACCACCTCCCGCAGGCAGCCCAGGGTCAGCAGGGCCTTCCGGTCCGGGGCCTCGCTGTCCCAGTCCTCGCCCTCGTCCGAGGAGCCGCTCCCCATGGAGCAGTCGGCCAGCACCCGCATCAACACCTCCATGGTGGCTGGAGAGATGGCCAGCAGAGCGTTCCTCTGGAGCAACAGAGAGTGGAGAGAGAAGTATTGCGGTAAGTCAAAGGCAGGTTACACTGGACAAAGTGCACTGAAAAAAAAGACATGAAGTATCTATTGGTTTGGTCCTTGCGACTTTGTTTGTTTGTTTCCCATCAACATGCTTTTATTTTGTATTTTTTGAGCGCACACAGAACGGACAGCTAGCAGACCGTGAGGAGATGACACCAAACACTTCTTCTAGGTCACACAATATTAGGCCATTTATTATGATTTATGTATTTTGCATATTTCCCAGGAATAAGGAATCTTCGGTTGTCAATGGGGATCAGGCCTGTGACCTGCTAGTTAAAACATTCGGCGACATCCGGAGGCGTACCTGATCACCAGCTACTATGGCTCCAAACAGGTGCAGCAGGCAGCATTTCAGGCTCTCCTTCAGGTGCTCGCTCTCCTGGAAGCACTCTGGAACAAAGGAAGGGCACAAATAAACACACACACACACAGTCCATTAGTTTGATCTGTAGGCGTGATGTCTGCTACGCAATTACAACGAAACTATAGCTCAGAGCAAACCGCTGAAGTTCCTGTATTTCTGTCGAGTCTACACACAGACACGCCTTTATCTTTTCTGACTCTTTCGTACACATGTAAACACTCACACACGAAAGCTAAATGAAATCTGCGAACCAGATAAGATAGGAGGCCAGTTAGCGCACACACACAATCACACACTTGGCATGTGGCAATTGTGCCAGTAACCTCTGGGTCATGATGGTCCCGGTCATCCATTAACTCATCTGTCAACACGTCCGACTGGGGAGAAGAGATGTGACATCTCGGCTCCGTGATGTCCGTTTCCTTTATCCCAACCATGCTACAACGTTCTACTCTTACTTTGTCATTTATCCTATATCTAATTAAGCTTGATGTATAAATAGTATTCCACCTTGTTCTTTGCACAGAACACACACACAGTCTGTCAGGTTAGGCCTCGGGTGTTATCTTTGGTGCCAAACCACAGCAGCCACGCAGGACAGAAAGAGAGTATTTGTTCAACATGGCCACCAGCGTAGCTGAAGTGGCTCGACAGACACCGCTCGCTATCGGCTCATCTCAGCGCCGGGCAAACGGGACGAGGACACAAAGAGTGGATTCAACTGGACCCGGAGAGGAAAGGAGGGGAGGCGGTGAGGGAGAGAATGACACTTGGAACTTAGGAAAAAAAGATGGTGGAGGAGAGGAGAGGTTTTTATGAGAGGAGATTGCTTCCTCATCTGCACCCGAAGAAGTTATTAAAGCAGGTGATGCAAAGTAAGGACCATATACAGCAAGCGCTGTAATATCGCTACTGTGTTTGCAAATAAGCTATGCAAACTCGCACAAAGTAAAGTTGAAGGGACTATATATTTTTTTAGGACAGGAAAGTACCATGTACAGTTGATGAGTTTGCCTTAATCTGACTATGTTACACGTGACTTACGATAAAAGAAAGGAACAAACTCCACGGTGAGCGGAGCTGCCTTGTACTTCTGTCTGCTCCTCTCTACTGTGCCCAGCTGCGCCCTGGCAGAAAAAACAAACAACGGGATGAGAAACACTTCTATTGCCGGTGCATGTTAGCGTCATGGTTGTGACGGTGAAGCGTGGGACGGCGTTACCCGCAGGTTCGATGCCTCCAGTTGCGGTATGGGTCGTAGAGGCTCTCGCAGAACGCCAGCGCATGACGGACAAACTCCTCCGCCTGGCTCTGGTCTGCCATCTCCTTCTCTTTGGTCTTGCTCTTCAGCTGCAACAACAAACACAAACACACGTATTGTACAGAATGCCACTTCCACATTTATGTTCCTCCAAAATAAGTGAACCTTTCAACTGCTATCTTTAGTTTAGCATCTATTTTTGCAGAGCAGAGAGAAACAGAAAGATCAGAGCGAGGACATAAGAGGGGAGCCGCACCTGCTGAATGTAGAGTGTTGTCATATTGATGATGTGATTGATGTAAGAGCAAGTGCCAATCTCCTCCACGTTGGACAGGTTCCTATCAGAAACAACCCATCAGGCACAAACACACACAAAGTCGACCATTAGTTTATGTTTTCTTGCTTTGTAAATCGTCTATTCCATGAAGATAGCAATGCTAACGCTACAGCACAATCTATGAAAAACACAAGATTGATATGTCACAATCTCTTCTGGTGCTGCTGTGAAGTAGCTAAACAGTTTTGTGCGTGTTTACTGCAGAGACCTGCAGACGATGATGAGGAACTTGAGCAGCAGCAGAGCCAGGTTCTGCTGCTCGGGCTCCAGGCCGTCGGAGGCCTTCTGGACGCACTGCAGCAGCTGGTGGCGCAAAACCTGCAGGATGTTGTCGGGGAGGAGCGTCAACACCGGGGGAACCTCCTCTGGCCTGGGGACACAGAATTAATCTCCATTAGATAAGAAAGCACAGGGGGGGGGGGTTAATAATGTCAGCAATGATGCAGATGTGGCTTTTTTTTTATCATGGAGGTGTCGCTGCAGTGTACACAAGGGCAGCTTGAAGGAGCAGACCCTGTTCTGTGTTCACTCACTCACTCACACACTCTTTCCTTGGGGGAAAAACCCAGCTTGTGAGCTGCACTGCATATGTGACAGAGAGAGAGAGAAAACGCAGCCAAAAGCCTTGCAAAGAGTGTCAGTGGGAAAAGTGGGACAGATGTGGCAGAGGAAGGGAAGGAGGAGAGCGGGGGGGGGGGGGGGGGGGGGGGGGGGGGGGGGGGATTAGGGAAGGAGTAAGAGGAAAAAGCAGGAGAGGATGGGAGAATATGAGTCAAGGGAGGAAGAGAAACAGGAAATGACGAGAGAGACGGAGAGAAGAAAAGCTTCCTCCACCTCCTCTTCACATCCCCTCAATCCGTGATAAAGATGTGACACGGTAACAACAAACTTCGCCTATTTCTGCCCGCTCTCAAATACCGAACTCGGGCTTCATATGTTCGCATGTCGACACCAATCAGAGCAGCACCTGCAGCAGAATGGGACCGCGCCGCACGAGGGCATCTGGTGGCTATTTTGGGTGGCGCGGCGGAAGGCTGTGCACAGTATGTGGTCACGCTGTGGATGACGCAAACCAGAGGAGATCATACTGAACGCCCTGGCGATGACCTAATACAGGAAACTGCAAGGATGTTTTGTAGTAATCAGGGCATGTGATATATTATAGACAGTGATTCCCCACCAGGAAGTGTCATATGCGGGCGAATTCTCTTGCACACACGTTGTGTTTATAGTTCCACTTATTTTTGGATAAACAAAAGAGGAAGTGGGTATTTACCGTCACCAGAGGTAGCTTTTGTTTCTACTATTTGAACTATTACATGTAAAATATGCTTGCGACATGAAAAACAACCGATAAACCCACAGTTTGCCAAAACTTACCTCGACGGTGGCTTTTCAAAGTCCACGTCCAGGCATCGCTCGTAGGAGCTGATGAAAATCTCCAGCCATACCTTCAAGTAGTCGGGATCCCTCTGAGAAGTGAAACGACAAGAAAGAAAGAATGCGTGACGGGGGAGGGAGACGGGGGAGGGAGAGAGAGAGAGGGCGGGGTAAAGAAAGGAGACAATGTAGTTAGTGGCCTTTGCTGACAAAAGCTGTCTTGGTTAAAATACATAAATGACCGGCAGCTGACGGGCCTTGTCTGCAGTAGGATTGAGTTTGTTGTGTGTGTGTCGTCTGTAACTAGACAACAATAGGCAGCAAACTTTTTTTGTCTCTCTGATTCATCATGATGGTGACAATGAAGGTGATGTTTTTCATGGCTTCGAGGACTTAAATACATTTTTGCTTTTGTTTGACAACAAAAGGATACAAACATCTGATTATGTGGAGCGACAGCAAAAGAACAAGTGAGACGAGATGCAGTGCATACTGAGCACCATGTTGACAACAGGTTTACCAAGCTGCTACCCGAAGCATGACAAACACGTGACGGCAGGAATATCTCAGGTGGCCTCTTATCTTTTTCGGGGCGTGGAAGCTGAAATGTTGCACCTGTCGGAGCGGAAAACGAGCTTGGCTGCATTCTGAGGAGGGGCTTCGAGCAGCCGGCTGACCGGCATTTCCTAAATTCCCAGCGAAAGGACGGGATGGCAACGTGGGCCACGGAGGAAGGCTGGGCGGGGCTCGGCTTGCCAGTTCCTTGTGTATAAATGTCCTTAACCCACAGGAAACAAACAAAGGACACCAAACACATGGGACCACGCAGCAAAACTGCTTAAACAGCAAGAGCTGGCACCCTAAAGACGAGTGTTCATTTAGAGTCCAAAACGTCTGTTGCTTAGTACTTAAGCTCTTTCATATCTCACTAAAATATGCAAATGTGCCACACACTTTGCCAGTAAATACACATTTCATGTGTCATGGCTGTTTCGAGGCTGAAAGCAAACACGTAGACCGCAAACAAGTACGGCGTGTTCTGGAGCAAATGCATTCGCAGCAGAGGTGGGAGCCTCACAGCATCACCACAGGCTTGCAGCAGATCCCGTCATAAAGACTTTGAGCCGTCTGGAGGGTGCGGGTGAGCCATCTGGGTCAAGGAGCGCCGGAGAGGTCATACAGGGGCAGATTAACACCGGTCAGTATATTGTGCATTCGGGGATACAGTTTGTTTGTTTCACACACGTGTCCATGGCGGAAACCAAAGTGCGAGACCAACAGAGCGACTGACCGATTGCATGGATTCCGAAGCACCATCATGCAAGCTCTGCTGAGGTCCGCGCCCGACATTTGTCACTCATTCTAAGAAGAAGCAGGCGACTTTCAAACAGAGAATCGAATGTGTATTGAGCGACCCCGGGAGACAGAGACACAGATGGAGAACGAGAACACAATGCAACACTGCGCTCGTGTTCACAGTGTTATTGAACGGCTCTTTTCTGATTAGACTTTAATGTATTTCTTCATTTCCTGTAATGAAGCCACCCACACCTGGATGCTGCAGAAACAGTGCGCACCTAAAAATCTCCCATGATGCCCAACAAATTCATACAACTTCCTATGAAGCTATAAGGAATAATTCGCAGATTAGAGCTTGAAAGTGGAGAAACACACACACACACACACATACACACACACGCATGCACACACCAACTGGAAAAACTGGGTTTTCTCAGGATAGCAGTGCCATCTGGCTATAAAGTGAGAGACTGATTCTGTCTGCGTGTCAGTGTGGAATCAGCCAGAGCGAAGCAGGAAGCAGCTCTCTGCAATGCCTATGAAGTCATCAGAACAATCCTGCGATGCTGACCTGTGTGTGTGTGTGTGTGTGTGCGTGTGTGAGAGAGAGAGAAACATCTGAACTCAGCCACGTGTGAATAATATGTTCTGTTGGGAGAACGCGGCATGTCGCCCGTGTGCCTCTTTCTTTCCTCTGCGTCTGCATGAATCACTGACTCCAGTGAGAAAACCTCATTTTTTTGTGCCTGCTGCTAAAAGCTGTTCTTTAAGTTGACCAATAAATACTGCATTGTCTTTACGTCCACGGTGCCGCCAGATAATTAGATGATGAGTTATGGCAGCAGCTTCACTCTCAAGTGAGCTCACTAGTAGCAGTGACTGAATGACTGTGTGTGCGCGTGTGTGGCCTCTTTTAGGCAGCAGCTCGGGGAGCACAGATGCCCATTGAGGGTTTTGGACTGTGGCAGGCAGGGACACACCCTGGTCTGCATGGCTCTGTTTATCCATGGCCTTCATCACTGGCCTGACACACACACACACACACACACACACACACACACACACACACACACA